GGGGATTTTTTTTTCTTAGATAAGGCTCATCACTTCTTTGCAAAAGGCACAGATCTCACCCCAGCAGTTGACATGTCAGCCATCACCTGAGCACAGCAATCTTGAAAGGGGGATGAAAAGGTTCTGAAAGCAATCTCAGATTATTGGCATACAGTCCTTGGACCTCCAACTACCAACAACTCTAAGCTGTCAAGGCATCAAAGCGGTCTGCCCAGCCAACTGACAAGTCCATCACAACTGATCTAGAGGATGAGGGGAACTGAAATAGCATTCGGCATAAATTTTGGCAGAAATTCTTCATCAGAGAGGATGATCTCAGCCCAGGCTGAGAATAAGTATCTTCTGGAAGCTGAGAGACTGTTTCCATGAGAAAACAGCCTGGAACCAAACTTACAAACCTCTAAAGCTTGCATGACATGGATCGACATGTCAGATGATTTTGAAGTGCCAAGTAATAGCCACTACCGCTGTAGGGATAGACTCCTGCCACCATGGAGTTCAGAATAACATCAATGAAATTTAGACAACTAGGGATGTTTCTGGAAATTCAACTCAGGACCTTTGAAAGGAACAAAACCCTTTTTCTTAGGTAGAGCTATGTTTTTATCATCCCACTGACCAAGTGCAGCCATGGCATGCAGTCACTATCTGAAATACACCATACAAACAACTCCTGACCAAGTAATGATCTCAGCCAATCCATGGTATTTCCTGTGCAATGGCTGTATGGAGATATACAAAGTAGGCATACTGAAAATGAAAACCCACATACAGAAATCTCTCCTAATGCTCACCGATGAACTCTATTGACAAGTTTTGCTTCTGAAGATAAAATAACCAGTTATAGCAAGATAAACCGCCTTAAGTCCTTCGTCACATGCAGGACCTCATCTCTCCTCTGGCTGAAGAGAAGTTGTTGTAACAAGTCTTTCACTGAAGATTTCATGTCTTTCAGCAGAATCAATGACTGTGGCCAGAGCATATCTACTCTGGGGAGGGCACACCTCTAACAAAGTGGTATTTGTAATGAAGCCCAGGACATCATTTTTAGTTTGCTAGGGCTAAAAAATTTCTTCATGACATCAGTAGAAAGATAAATAAGCTAAAATTGTTCAAAATCTTATTCTGTGAGCAAAGCAGCCCTGATAACCAGATCAACAAAACTGGAACAAGTAGTGTATCTTACTTGCCAAGCTGCCAGACATTTTGTGGTCATGGCTGTGGAACTTAGTCTATTTATTTTTGGTCACTGCTGCTGCTGAAAAGGTTAAAGGCAAAGGTCATCACAGAAAGACTCTGAATTACATGACAGCCACTATTCTCTTTCTGGTGTTGAAAGGTAAACACATACATACATGAAAGGCCACGTGGTCATTCTTCAAATTGTTAGCCAACGTGGTTCTGTTTCTAAAGAGAGTATTCGTGTTAATCTAAGGAATGAGAAGAGCAACAGAACAAATGTTTTGAGGCACCAAAAGCCATGCTAATGGTGTAGTACTACCTGTGCTGACAGTCCAGTCAGCAAAAGAAGCTAAAGGGTCCCAAGCGATCTCAGACAATCATGCAGGCTGTGTCCAAAATTAATACCATGATAGAAGAAAAAAAATGGATCACTGTCATTTGTCTTGCCACCTTTGCCTGCTGACTATCCAGGACCAACAGGTAGAACTGGTGTCAAAAGGCCAACATGCACCTTCGTAGTAGTCTCCTCAACCTCAAACCCCTGCCAAACTGCTTTGGGAACCAAACTCTGTCCTGAAGTCTGGTAACAGAGGATGCAGCTGGAACGAAGAGTGGTTCCCAATGATACAAGCATCAGCCATGCACAGGAATGACAGGAAGGTACCCTAGCACATTTCAGGAAGCACTTCTAGATCTTTTTCTCTCCATCACCTACTGTCACTCACCTCAAGACGACAGACATCCAGAACACTGGTCAACAGATGAATAATGACTTCTGCATGTTTCATGCAAGGCAGAACCATCACTGAGTCAGTAGTTTAAGTATACAACAGACAGATCAATAGAGACCTCAGGTGTGAAGCCTGTCGTCTCACTAGAAGGCTGAAAAGAACTAAAGCGCAACAACAATCACAGGGCAGGAAGAACTTAATGGCAGAAGTATACTGAGAAGCACTGAAAAGTGTACATTATTTCCCAAATAATAAAGTAAACAAACCTAGAGGATCTTTAATGAACTGAACTCACCCCCAAAAAGGAATGAAGCATTCCTAGTTTCATCACATGCCATGAATAGTGAGAAAAGGTCATCTCAGTGCACCAAGATCCTTGCCACCAGAAGCAAAACAACAGGTATGACAGTTGGAAACCCACTGAATGTCTGAAAGAATGTGAGCTTGCAGGGGAGATGCACATGCTCCCTGTGAGTGATTTCTCTCTGGACAGTCACTTTTTGATAACAGCTGTTTCCAAGTAGCTCCATGTTTAGACAGGCCCTCATGGATGAGCTAACTCAGAATCATTTGCACACAATAAAAATCACAATCCTTTTAAGTACTATGGGTATTATCAGTGAAGATCCACAATAAAATACTGGGGTTTTTCCCCAAGTATCTGACCTTAGAATCATAGAATCATAGAATGTTTTGGGTTGGAAGGGACCCCTAGAGGTCATCTAGTCCAACCCCCAAATCAAATTCATTGTGAGCTGTACACAGAGTTATGTTTCAAAAAGCATTATGCAAAAGAGAGATTTAATTCCAAGCAACTTTGCAATTGCACATTTATTTCTTATTTAAAGAAAGAGTGATTCTCAAGGGCTTGTTAACATTAAAACATAATGGCTTGAGATTAGAGAGCTTTTATGCAGAATTTGGTATCTTTTTGCTAAGCAGAAGACTGCATTTTACATATTTATGTAACTAAATAGTTTAATTTTAAATCAGACTCTTAGCTTCCATGTTGTTAAAATAGTGACGACATCTCCCATTTACTTGATGATACTTTTTATTCAGGTTTGCCAGGCTGCATGCTTGGAAATTGTAATTCAAGTAAACATAGACAAAAGTTGTGTTTTAAAGTAATTAAGTGTCAGTCAATTAAAATATAAGAAAATTTTGTTTTAAACACAAGCCAGTTTTGACTATGCATTTGTATTCCGTGAATAGAAGCAAGAGCTTCTAATTAATAGATCTTTCATTATAACTACTTAATCTCACCTTCTCACCTACTACTTGAAGTGAAGAAGAAATTCTTTTCTGTTTTCTGAAGTCCCAGTATCCCAACTTCAACTGAATTATGATCTCAATCTCAGAAGAATTACCAAAAAAATTACAACCCAGAAATACATTTCTGGCACTGTCATCCTCACTCTAGCTGGTTTGGAACACCACTAACCACGTCTGAGCAACATGCTATCAATAAAAGACTTCAAACACAACAGTAAGTTCTATTTTGGATCTCCTTGGCAGAAAAGGAGAAAAAGATTCAGCTACTTTTCAAGCACATTGGAGAACTTTTAGTTTGATTTTTCAAAGACACTAAATATCACAGTTAATCATAGGTCTTATGAAACTGGAAGCTTTACTCAGACATATAATGTCTGAAAGACAAAAAACACAAAAGTTGCTTCTCTTTAAGAGTTCAAACCTTTTTAGAATTAGCAACATCATATGTGGACACATGTCGTAGAGGAGCTTAAAGCCTCCTCTTCAGCCAAACCTTCCATACATAATCAACAACACTTCATTAAAAGTCCAGGAAAATCCAAGGACCTTTTGACAGCAAATAAGATCTCCAGAGAGAAAGATAATTTATTCCAATGTATCAGTTCCTCTCCTTCTTCCACTACTGATTTGAACCACTAAACAGAGGGAATTCACTGGCAGGCAGAGACCTAAAGCTTGCCAGAAAAGTTCTTTGCTGCAGGGGTCACCAGGGAGAGACATTTGGCCATTACTAAAGGAGAAAAGAGGGAAAAATACCTGGCTCATTTTACTCCTATCCTCTTTATCGTAAACGAGGGAATAACTGAAAAATATGCACCTTTTACCTAGCTTACTGTGAATCAAAAACATCTTTAAAACCTTCCATCTCTAATTCCGTCTCATTATTCTGGGTGATAAATAAATCTGCCTGAAACATTTTTCCTAAGAAATGTAATACAAACATATTTGTCACCTTTTGCTTTTCCAGGTGGTTTTGTAAGTGCTACATGCCCCCCCAAAGGTCCTCACACATATCATTACCATTTCTGAAAATCATCCACAGACACATTCATTCCATTGTTATACACTGACAAATTTAATAAATCCCATTGAAATTTCTTGCTAAATTTAAAAAAAAAAAAAAAAAAAAACGAATTGAAAGAAACCACAGAAACGTATCTTATTTCTAGAAACTTAAGCCTACTGTCCTAGCTAAACACTGTTGAATTCAATTCCATCACGCTCAGCTGCTACAAGTTCATTGTCTCAAACACAGGGACAAGGATTGTGCCTACTCCCTGAGATGACTTCTGTATCCAGACTATTAATGTTTCATCATAAAACACCTCTCATCAGAAAACTCATAGTAGATTCACTCTGAACTACAGTACTCTACTCTTCTGAATTTACTTTTCAGCCTCGATTCCTCTCAATCTCTTCATTAATAGCATTCAAGAAGGCTTGACGGCTGCTGATATTTTCAAATAATACTTCTTTTTTTAAATCCACACACAAATTAAGCCCTCTGGTCGTACTCCTAATATTTACCAAGGAAATAAAGTATTAGGCTTGAGGCAGTCGATCTACAGATGGAAAACATTTAAGACAGTTTAATTTTGGATACTACACATCAAGGTTGGAATACTGCAATATTTAAAACTAATAACATTGTATACATGATTGATTACCATCAATTAGCTATGCATACACAGAATTCCATAATTTCTGTGCTCTCCATTTCTTCTCAAATTAAATTTATTTCAAAACATAGTTACATTATTTCACTGTAGGAAAGAAGAAAGCGCAGGTATCTCCTTTTTTTAAAAATCATACCTTGATCAGAAAGAAAATCCAGCATGGTCTGGAGGAGGAAAGACAGATGCCTGACGCACAGAGCAGGATTTCCCATTCTTCTGGATGCATATACTAGTTCATGAAGCAAACGCATCTGTACTGCAGCCCATCCTCTATGAGTTCCTATAAAGTAAGCAGTCATTTCATTTTTTTTAAAGCTATAAGTCATTTGAAACCAATTTGTTGCAGTTTTCTTTATGTACTAAGGAGTAAATTAATTTTTCTTAATATACATATTTTTATATATATATAAAAATCACCCAATGGAACCAATAATTACAAAATCCAAATCTTGTACTCAACACAAAAGAAAAATTAGGATATTTGCATTTGCTTGAATATTTAAATGTGAAAGCAATTTTTGTTTTATATGCTTGTCTATCGACTAATAAATTTATTAGAGTTCAGAAAATGAAGTTAACACTTCTCATAAAGTAAAAAATACGACACACAAAACCCTTGAAGTTTTATATTTTTTAAATTCTCTGAACAAGAAATCCACATGAGATTTCATACGTAAACTTCATTTTTATCCAAATCAGGTACTTCCTAACTCTCCTTGAAGATCAAGCAAAAGATATTTTCTCTAAATGCTTTCCTGGCTGTTAAAAGTCAGTAAAAAGTAATAAAACTACAGGACATGAGGCACATTTCCTGATTTTCAGTCTTTAAAAACTAAGTTTTGGACTACAAATCATTTCATATTTGCAAAGTACCTATGGTAACAACAAACAGATCATCAACTTTTCTTTCAAAAACATAATATGCAGTACTCTTCATGAAACATAAACCTGCTTTTAGTAATAATTTTTTAAATAACAGATATTCCAAGATGGGCAATACTTCATAAACTTCTAAACAGCCCTCTTTCTAGTATTACCCATCAGCATCTGGTGAACTTTTCTAGAAATATTTACTGGAACCAAAACTTGCGAGTTTGTATTTTGCACATGAGTCTCATTATTTTTCATGTGTAAAATATTGTTCTTATCAAGCAGTTCTTACAGTTTACAGTGAATCTTTCCGTATGTCTCTGAAAAAGCCATTTTGGGCACAAAATCTGACAAAGCGCTTCAGTGCAACGTAAAGGTAACTTAGAAATGAATTATAAACACCAATCGTGACTTTTTTTTTTTAATCATCAGTTCTCGCAGAACTCTGACAACCTCTTCTCCCAACACAGTCCCATCCCAGTCTTCTCCTTTTACATCATATTGAGAATATGGTAGGCCATGGCATATTTTTTTCCAGTACATTCCCTCTCCCTAGACTCTTTGTATCTTTCTGTCTAGTCCACTTGGCATTTTCTGCCTCCTGCCACGTATTGTTTCTTTCTGTGACAGCAGTTTAAAAAGAAACCCTAAGCATCCACACATACAGGAGGTTGGCTACATGCCTGTTTCATCAATGGAGAACACAAATGCAGCTAAGACAGCCTGGAAAATACTATGTAGGGGCTGGTCAGCTGAGTATTTCCATACTTTCCATTGAGTGAATTGACTAGATAGCCATTGATAATAATGGAGCTAAGTGACCTAGCACATATGGAAACACCCAAACTTACAAGACAACTTCAAACTGGAACCTCAACAATAAACAGTCAATGTACTGTCACAAAAAGGAGAATACTATTCCAGCTGCTGTTCATTCATATCTAAACCAGTTCAGAGTTCTCTTACTGGTGAACCTCACCTCCTTTCCATCAATCCATGCTCAACCCATTGCTTGCTGCTCCACTCCTGCAACTACAACATTTAGGGAATGGTCCCCAAAAATGCTACTATACAAAAATAATGCAAGTTTTTGGGCTACATGGAAAGATTTACTCAAAAGGAGGTCCCAAGCAGTGTTATTAGCTCCCTCTTCCTTTAGAGGCAAAATGCAGCACAGTATATTAAAATAAAGAAAACTTTTTTAAGTACTTTATATACAGCTTTAGATAACATTGATAAAATTGTTTAAACATAGCTTACCTAAAGAAGAGCAGCAAGCAGCATATAGCTTGCAGAAAGCAAACACAGTGTTTAACAGCTACAAGAATAGGCGTGTGTTCTTATGGGCTATTTTTGCATTGTTTTTTAATAGATGCAATAAAATAGTAACTCAAATGATATATAGCATCTAAAAACTGTTGAAGTGTCTTAACCAAATGTTAGTCTTACAGGCAACATCACTTTGATCCGATCTGTGGAAAAATGTGACATATTTGACCCTACAGATATAGATATAATTACATGACATGTACCTATGTATGTGCATCTATATTAAAAAAAATGTAAAAGACACTTTCATTCTTTGATTATAAGATCAAAGAACAACAAATACCAAAAGAGAGACAATTTCTGATACACAGGTTGGAGGCATTTTAATTTAAAAACTACTCAAAAATAAAAATGACCTTTTTTTGTACAGAGAAGTGTATAATAAAAAACAAAGACATTTTTGAAACAGAGTAGAAATGAATCTTTCATAAATAAAACAGAGGAATACAGCAACACATGCAGCAGTAGCTCGAAGAAATTGGAAATTACTGAACGTAACACTAAGAAAAAGCAAAGGTAAAGTTTTAAAGAACTGCTCTATTTGCCGCGGTTAGTTTTAGATCGGTAAATGATTTTGGTTTAATTTGAAATCTCTCAAGGAAATTAGTTATACAAAGCCAGTTGAGTGACCTACTATGCTAATGTATACTTTCCCAGAGACACTTACCTTTGCTGAAATCTTTAGGATCCAGTGATAAGCTATAGCCAGGGAGAGTTTCCAAAAGCAATTTGTAGCAGGCCCTCCAGCCTGGTTCTGGGATGCTAGGTGCAGCGCACTGCATTGCTGCTATACGCTTGAAAAAAGCAGACTTTCGGTGAAAACCAATACGTTCATAAAGCTCAGAAAGAATGCTGTAACGCTGGATTTTTTCTTCCTCTGAAAGCTGAAATTTAAAGGGAAAAGAGAAAAGGATTGGTTTTAATCAAAATTTTAAAGCACATATCTGAGTTTAAAAAAAAAACAAGTGGGAAAAAAAGATGTAGTAGACTTATCTCCAACACTACAGCACCAGTGATTTTGCATCTAGCCAGTCATACAGCTTCTACTGCCAGGAAAACTTAAGCTTGCTTCAAGTCCAGCAGCTAACAAAAGCAGGAAAGGTAGAGTTCCTTAGCAACTTTATTTGTCATTAGTACTAACAAGTAAATAGTTGAAACAGTCAATAACAGCTAAACAGCTCCACATTTTATGGAAGATAGTTAATGTGATCATCATGTGCATAATGAGAATGCAAAAATATACCACTTCCAAAATCTATTGATTTACCAAGTTAAACATTTTCACCCCTTAAAGATTAAATCTAATTATTAATCTTGAAATCTCAGGCTATGAAAGCAAAGAAAGTGATGTCTCAACTCAGTTTTTATCTCTCTCTGATCCTGTAAACCACAAAATTTTCATTCATCCACTATACATATGCAGACTGCCAACTAGCAAGGAAGAATTTAGTGAAAGGTTAAGCCCCATTAGGCTTAAAATTGAAACAAACTTGATGAGTAACTACCAACATGTGCTTCTTTAGCTCATCAATATATTGGCACAAGTCCCAAGTAACCGTTCTTTCCCCTCTGCTTTGAATGACTGTTTTGCTTTGAAATCAGACAGCCAAGAAACTGCTGTAGAAACTCTGGAAGCTACCAGCTACACCCAGTCTACATCCCAGTAACCAGCAATATTAAGTTCTGAAGGTGGACCAATGCTGACACCTAGTGCATAATGTCTGGCATGCACAACCAAAAGCAATGTAAAATATTTTAAATGACACTAAAGCTGCTAACAGGTTTTGCAAAGGCGTTTAAAATTATAAACTTCATACAAAAATAGCACTAAAGGACAGAAACAGCGTTTCTGCAACTCATTCTTCAAAACTGAAAGTATCAATCAGTGGATTCTGTGCATATAACTTCCGATAGTTAAAGCCTTGGAAAGTCAAAAGAAGATGCTAGAAAAATCAGATCTTATAAATGAAGCTTCAGAACATCTTTTAGTCACTTAAATCCTAATATAATTACCAAAAAATAGTCTGTTTTCAAAAGTCACTTCTAATTTTGGACATAGGGATATGGAAGACCTCAAAGAAGCCTACAGTTTTCAGAAGGCACCATGACCTAATCTGATAGTTCAGATCTTAGTACTTCAGGATACGGAGAGACACAGACAGACTAGCAAATCATTTCAGAAAGTTTCAGACAATTTTTGAAGCTGAAGCTGTTACTTCCCTCAGAACTGACAACACAAACCGATGCCCAATGCAAAAATACCACCCATCCATATAAAAGACCAATCCCTGTAACAAGAGTTGTAAAAAGGCAATTGCAGCAAGCTGAAAACTTTCATGAATCAATGCAGCTGGAAAGAACATGAGGCATAGAAAGAAAATACAGAACAATTTGAAACCAGTTTATCAGAATCCCCAAAAGCTATCATTCAGAAAGAAGATGAGGTGTCAGATTAAGGTTACCTACTCTAGTAGGTAAAAAAAAAGCTGCTCTGCCTTTTTTTTTTTTTTTCTTTTTTTTCATTTATGCCGTTTTTAAAAAGCTAACACAATAAAAAAAAAATATGGCAGCAGAATCAGAAAGGGCATGAGCACATGATCAGGTACTGAAGTTAGAAAAGCATAAAAAAGAACTATAAAAGCTATTCCTTGAATGACACTGTCAATGTTCACACACCTATGGAAACTAAATTTTTAAGATGAGAAGAGACAGGGTCATGCTATCGAGGTAGACATGAGCGCTTACTAATAATTGAAACAGCGATCAGAGAGGCAACAGATTCTCAGAAAGTTTTCTTTTTCTCATATCTGCGTAAGTTTTTAACACTGCTATCTAACTTGTTGCTTAATGATGGTACACAAAGATACTCAAATATTTTTTGCAGTTGCAGGAAACTTTTTTCACCACAACAAAGATAGAAAAATTGCATTTTCCCCAAGGGATTTAAAAGAAAAAAAAAAAAAATAAAAACCACACATAATCCAAGCAATTCATTCTGGGAAGACTGCAGCAGGCATTCTGCAGACGGTTAGCCTAGCATTCACAAACAGCTCTCCTGACCTTACAAATTCATAAAAGCATAAGGCCTATCAAGTGGCTGTGAAATAGCCAGCCCCTGAAGCACAGCCTCTTTTCCATCTGGTTAGTTATCATTTAACTGTTACAAGAAATTATGTTAGCAATTGCACCTGTAAAGGCCGTAGTTCGCTATCCAAACAACTGAGCCAGTTTCTTCACAGGCTTGGTTTAAGACAGGCTTTCAAGAGGGTAGCTTTTTATTTGTTTTTTAATTATTCCTTACTCTATTAAAATTCTGTAATCTCACTTACTTTGTAATTAGATGTTACAGTTTATTCCTCATAACTGGATGCAAAGATAAGTCTTATTACCCTGCAGCTTTCCGATAATCGGAAAATACCTATTACATGTCGTTACTAGACTGGGCAGAAGATTGAATATATGGAAAGAAACCAGCGTTCCTGTTTATCAGAGGCATACACATTATCCTGCAAGGTGTTTTTTCTGCTGCTGAATATTGGTTGTGCTGATGTTCTGTCTACCTGCCAGAGAAAAGCACTGTCCTACAATTTGTTTCCCTAACCTATCACAGGACGACTCCTCCTTTCCTTTAGTGCAAATTATAACTATTACATGCTTCCATGCTATATACAGTAAATCTTGAAGAGCTGTAAATATAATTCCCAGCCATACCCCTCTTTATGGAAAATACATTTCCCCAACACTAAAAATATTATCTTGCTCATATTTCTCATAATAATGCTTTCTAGAAACACTACCACCCAAGAAAACGACATAGTAGACAGATGTAGTTACAAGCTAGATGAATGTCATCCTTGGTTGAAATCAATAAAGGTAAAGAATGGGTCACATCTCAGCAGTGGGCCCCAATGCCCAAACAATCAATATTGTCAAGGCATCTGTTTGGTTCTTTTTTTAAAGCAACCATATACTGAACTTTAGTAGGGCCAGCAGTGACAGGACAAGGGGTAATGGTTTTAAACTAAACCAGGGTAGGTTTAGACTAGATATAAGGAAGAAATTCTTTACAATGAGGGTGGTGAAACACTGGCACAGGTTGCCCAGAGAGGTGGTGGAGGCCCCATCCCTGGAAGCATTCAAGGCCAGGTTGGACGGGGCTCTGAGCAACCTGATCTAGTTAGCAGTGTCCCTGCTCCTGCGGGGGGGTTGGACTAGATGACCTCTAGGGGTCCCTTCCAACCCAAAACATTCTATGATTCTATGATTCTACAGTGGCATAATGCTAATAGCAGATATAGCTGTGTCCTGTTTTTGCCTGGGATAGTTTCTTTTCTTCCTAGTAGCTGATATAGTGCTGTGTTTTGGATTTAGGATGAGAGTAATGTGATAGCACACTGATGTTTTAGTTGTTGCTGAGCGGTGTTTATATTAAGTCAAGGACTCTTCAGCTTCCCATGCTCTGCCAGCAAAGAGGTGCCAAAGCTGGGAGGGGGCACAGCCAGGACAGCTGACCCAAACTGGCCCAAGGGCTATTCCAGACCATATGATGTCATGCCCAGTATATAAACTGGGGGCAGTTGGCTGTGGGGGGCAGCAATCACTGCTCGGGGATGGGCTGGGCATCGCTCAGCAGGTGGCAAGTTTTTCCTGAGTTTTATTTCTCTTGCTTTTTGTTATTTTCATTTTCATTACAATTTATTATTACTGTTGTTGTTGTTATTATTATTATATTTTATTTCAACTATTAAACTGTTTTTATCTCAACCCGTAAGTGTTCTCACTTTTACTCTTCCAATTCTCTCCTCCATCCCCCTGCAGGGGAGTAAGCAAGCAGCTGGTTAGGGCTTAGTTGATGGCTGGGGTTAAATCACAATAAGCTGACATCAGGAAATGAACAAGTGACCATCAGGTATACACGGTACAGCAGAAGGTTCAGTGGAAAAGACCCAACCCAAATTATTAATAAGATTTAAAAAAAATTTTAAAAAAATCAGTGAATACCAATATCACTTGAGAAGAAAAATGATCATGCCTCTTCGTATCCCACTGAACATATCTTTTTTTTCTAGAACACACCTACTGAGTACCATCATCATCTAGTTTGATCTCTGTGGAAGACTGAATAGCCAGCTAACTGTCTCGAAGCTTGCTCCTCTGTGGGGTGATCTGCAAAGATCAGCCTTGCTGCAGGCAAGGTGGCTTGCAGGCTTGCTGAAGCAGTGGACACCCAGGTGGGGCCACCTGCCCACCAAGGCTTGCAGTTTGCTGCCACTTAAAGCCTGCAAGCAGAACCCTGTCCCTGCCCAGCAACAAGAAAGCCTGCGAACAGAGCCCGCTGGACTGTGCTCTATAGAAAAAGGCCACTGTCTCAGACCTCGTGGGAGACAACCGAAGCCTCTGTGTGTGATCACCGAAGATGCTGAGCGATGACAGACCCCTGTGTGTGATCACTCACTACCGCAGACCCCAGAAGCACGGATCTCCGGGACGCCGCGGATCCATGGTGGTGACTGTCTGCTCTCTTCTATCCGGACCTCTCGCTTGATTTCCTATCTTTCCTTCCTTCCTTTCCTATCACTGCTTTCTCTCTTTCCCCGGAAGAGTAAATAAACAAGTGGACTTACGATAACTAGCTGCCCCTAGACTCTCAGACTCATCTGAGGTCAGCTAGAAAGCAAGGGGGCCTTCCTCTCATCCAAACAAAATTGCATCCTAACAATCTCCCATGTTGCGTTATCAACAGAGTTATCACTCAGCGATACAGAATCATCATAGAACAGCCAAGGTTGGAAGGGACCACGAAAGATCCTCTGGTGCAACCTTTCATGTCAAAGGGAGCCTAGATAAGATCATCTAGCACCCTGTCCAGCAGCATCTTGAAAACCCCCAGCAACGTGGGCTCCACTGTGCCCTTGGGGAGGTTCTTCCAGTGAATGATTGTTCTTACTGATTTTTTTTTATTTTTTTTTTAATTGCAATGAAACTTCTCCCAGTGCAACTTGTACCCACTGCCCTTTGTCTTCCTGTGGCTCCTTGTGAGGAAAGACCCTCCCATCCTCTGTGTAGCTGCCCTTTAAGTACTGGAATACTGTGATGAGATCCCCCCTGAGCCTTCTTTTCTCCAGTGAGAAAAACACCTAACTCCTTCAGTCTTTCCTTCCTCATGGGGCAGTTTCTCCAGCCCCTTGATCAACTTCATGGCACTCCTTTGGATCCTCTCCAATCTGTCCATGTCTTTCCTGAACTGTGGGGACCAGAACTGGACACAGTACTCAGGTGTGACCTGATAAGAGTGGGATGATCACCTCTCTGTCTCTGCTAGCAATGTCCCTGCAGATGCAGCCCAGGATCCCATTTGCCTTGGTTGCTGCAGCAGTGCACTGCTGACTCCTGTTGAGCTTGTTGTCCACCAGGACGTGCAGGTCCCTTTCAGCAAAGTTACTCCCCAGCCATACAGAGATCCTGGCCTGTGCTGGGCTCTTTGGTTATGTCATCCCAGGTGCAGGCCATTGCACTCATCTCTGTTAAAGCTCATACAGTTCTTGCTTGCCCACACTTCCAGCCTGTCCAGGTCTCTCTGTAAAATGGCTCTCCCTTCTGATGTGTCCACCTCATCACCCAGTTTGGTGTCATCATCAATCCCATCATCCAGATCATTTTTGAAGATGCTGAATAGCGTGGGGCCCAGTATCAATCCTGGGCGACTGTGATGGGTCCACTCGACCCCTTAAGCAAACTAGCAGTCATTTGGTACAGGCTCCAAAGGAGACAAAGGCCTGAGCCGTAGCCAGGCCAAGAACTCCTCTAGTTTCAACCTCTTCTCTAAAAACCCGGAAAGGAGCAGAGTGACGCAGTGACCATCGATGCATTTCAGCTTGGAACCCCGATCATACAATTAATGCAAGAATAGTGGGTGGCTTTTCCAAGACTCATTTATCAAGGAACAAAGAAAGTTGTGGGTACCAGGAGCCTCATGTATACTTTTCCCATCACATGTCATTTGAATAGACTTTGCTATTCACTATGTCTTATTTTTTTCCTCTAATATAAAGTGAAAGTTGCAAGACCAGTGGTGTCAGGGAGGAGAGCAGGTGATTCTCACAATGACAGTAATTGCTTCCCTAAGAAAAACAACATAACAACAATACTGGAGTTTGCAGGCCACAAGAATAACAGCGCAACAACAAGTGAAAAATACTGCCACAGCAGTTTACATGAAAGGCTACACAACTGCCAGTGGAAGACTACAGAATTAAAGAGAAGGCCGTTAGCACTGCAAGGATTATGGCAGTTAGGGTACTCTGCAACAAAATTGATTACGTTTATGATAGCTTATCAATTAATTCATTTCTCATTTATGTTGAGTTAGAAAATTAACTCCTCAGAAAGGATTCTCTGCAAATGAAGTATTCTACCTCCTTCGTAAATTTGCTGTCCCAGTCTGGGCTTCGTAAGCTCAATGGTATGGACTGAAACTGCTAGTCTTACCAAGATGTAACGAACAAAAAAGCAAAACCAGTAAGAAACCTAACAGCTCTTTATTAATTCTTTCAACCACAGCAGTCTCTCCATAACCAGTGACACCAAGCTTGAGACACTGATAAAGTGTTAGTCTTGTCTGTGGTGGTACTGAGCATTTTTCCTCACAGTTCCAAATACTGATTTTCTGCTCTAAATTCCTTTCTGATTTGGCCTAACCAAGACTTCACACTACACAACAAAAATTCAATTGATTAACAACATTAGACAGACTCTTAAGCTCACTTTGCAACAAGCCATTCCAGATTTGTTCACAGTTTCATTGAATGAGATACAATCAAGGGGAAAAAAAAAAAAAATCCATTGCAGATCTGTGCCAAGCAGCTATTTTTCCCTAGTACAACATCACAATAGAACAACAATGGGATTTTTTTTCTTCACAATGGAGAATAACCAAAAGAGTCCTTAATCTCAAACTAAGTCCTCACGTTTTCAGATGAACTCTGAATACCCTGATGTGAAAATCCTCAGAAGTCCTAGTAAGAAGGAAGGTCGTGATGCAGAAAATAAATTGGAGTCTCCTGAATCTAAGTAACTTTCACAATTCAGTATAAGACCTCAAATGAGAAGAGAAAAATAATGGGACTTTCCGCACCAACCTGACGAAGGTTGATATAAACTGCATTCTGAAGAAACTCAGAGGCTTCCATGCTCCTTTTCTGTATTGCAAGGACTCTCACTGCCTTCACACAGGCTTCCAGTTCAATCACACCAGCATTCTTGTACTTGAAGAGGGAGAAAATTAAAATAATTTTGAAGTATCGTACCTGTTAGATTGTAAAAGTATTTCTGCTCAACACATAGATCAACTGTCACATCTTCCAAACCCAGCAATTCCTTAATTCTAGTGACTACACTGTTAAATTATCAGCATATGCCCAACTGAATATTAAGGTGTCATCTAAAATGTTATTATGCAAAACAACAGTTTTCAGCCTCTTCACTCACTTTTCTTATTTTGAGACACAGCACAGTTTCAGTCTGAGAGTTCAGATGAGGAGAAAAGATGGGAATCTTAGTATCATTTTGGATAACCTCATATATATGGTGGGTGTGAGTGGTGTGTCTGCAAAGACACTGTAATAGGTACATAAGCAAAAAGGTCAGTTTTACAGTAATTTTTCACCACCTGAAACTGTTCTATCACGATAAACAAAAAATTAATTTTGCTTTTCTACTTATTACAAAACACATTATATAGCACAGGAAACTGTAGCAACAGAACTTTAGTTTTACTACATCAATTTGCTCTTTAGTTAAAACATTATCACTGATGACAAGTGAATTCTGAGTTCTCTAGTGTTTATTTACAAAACATGACTGTCAGTTATTTGGCTTGCTTAAGAAAGGCAGGAGACAATGGGCATGTGCACTGATCTGTTTGAGCTCGGGCAACAAACACAGGCAATTTTCTAGACAAACAATCTGATCTAGTTATTTCCTTAAACAATACGGATAATGGACATTTGAGTT